ATTTTTGGTATTACAAATAAACATACAAAAAATGAAGTCTTTCTTTCATTATAAAATTATTATACATATACATATAGACTTCTTTTACTAACGAATACATAGTGCTTTTACAGATCTAGCTTTACAGATAGATTCTAGTTCTAACTTCGTAAGTTTCCTTGTCCAATTTCATATTAAAACATCGTTTCTCAATGTATGGGTCGCATTTAGTAAGTGAGATTTTTTTTTTGCTAATAATAAAATGGTTACCCCGCCTGCGCTGTCGGTATACACCAGTGAGGAATGAAAGAAAGTCATTTAGCCCATCGTGGCAAAATTTACTATATTTAACGACGATGGTTTCCAGGGCTCTTCTTTCAGGGCGCTTCCATGCTAACAATGAAACAATTAGACTCTATTACTAGCAATCCCCTTTCCCCCTAATATAAGGCATTGCAATTGCTTCAATAAATAAAATATATTTGTTAAATAACCTTTTTTCAAACATGCTTGGAAATGTGAGCATTATTTTGACAATCGTCTTCGAGATAAATTAAAATTGCCGTACTGGCCAGATACATGTGGGCAACGGCCGGCAAAAGTTGTATGAAAATCCATATCTGTCGTGTTTTGCGGCCAGATAAATTACTATGTAAACTCATATCTGTCCTGTAATTTAAAAATGGAATGACCTTTTACTGGCTACATGGCTACCAAGGAGGTAACTAATAAAAGGTTTTATTTCAATTTCGAACTGGCTTGCAAATAGAAAGCTGTTTATTGAAAAAAAAAGGAATATTATGGCGCGTGAAAAATTATTATTGTTCGTTATTCGTCATTGAACTTAAAAAGTAAAATTGTGTTTTTGATTTTCGCGCATTGTTTGAGAGAATTACTATACAAGCCTTGGCCACAACTAGGCATTGATGGACTCACATATGCATGCCTTGGCTGTGCCTCGGCCCACATTTGCACGTTCGTCTTTCAATGCCTCAGTTGCTGGCCGCTGCAGTAATGTACTATAATTGAAACACGTCCAAAATTAAATGACCGCATGAACAACATGCTTGTACTGTCAATACTGAAACAAGTTTCAATTTTTTTTTATACAACTTAGAATGGCAAACAAGCTGACGGCCCACCTGATGGAAAGTGGTAACCGTCGCCTATAGACATGAGCAGTACCATGGAAACAGAGTATACTGTTTCGCCCATGATACCCCCCATGCGTTGCCATTCCTGAGAACTCAGGTGTTATTCCTCTGTACATTCACCTATCTGTAAATTCACGCCATATCCCACCCTTCAAACCGAAACACAGCCATGCAAACACAACTGCTTCACGGTAAAAACACGAATGGGATAGAGGTACCCAAGCAATCGACTTTTGTACAAAGTCTCCCTCTGGTAAATTTGACAGAACAATCCCCATCTTTAAAAAAAGTTTGAATTTGACACAAAAATCTCCATTAACAAAATAATCCGCCATTTATTGAATTCATTTGTTACAAAATATGTGATAAATGAATAACCGCTCAATCAATTTTATGTACACTTCACATAAACCATCTACTAAATAGTCCGAACAAAGCCTAAACATTTGGTTTGGATAGGTGAGGCCGTTCTTGAGTTATAAAATTACAACGAAAAGTGGCATTAATTTTTAAATATATAGATTTAAAAACGATATAAAAAAAATATTTCTCGGTGACAACAAAATAAGTTATTAATTAAATTTTGTATTCAATAGTGGATGATTTCATTCTGCATTCACAAGTCCCACAATACCTGGATTATTATTACAAACACGCTCACGAACTGTTTTTCGGTGACAATACAAAATTTCTATATTTAATTAAAACTCAGCAAAAGCTCAAATTAATATTTTGTAGTGGTCGCAACATGTTTTAATAAACATTTTGTGGCAGCGACCCGCGACATAAAATGCTTGGGAAACAATGAACATACATTGTTTGTTTTTTTATAACATTAAACAGATTTATGGTACCTACTCTTTTACTTTGACATCGACCCATTTCTGAACATACCTAGCATAAAACAAGGCTCCATTAAATTCTATTCAACCTAAATTCAACTGAATGTGATCGGATTAAGGTTCAATATCAAAATTCTACAGGATCTTGTTATAAAAATGTAATGTAATCAAATTGATTTGATACCTAAGACCTTCTGTATACAAGGAGGTGCCTAAAACATTTTAGATTCTCTTCTTCAGTGCGTGCCTAAGAATATTTATACGGAAGATTTGTAAGAGACGGGAGTGTTAACATAATCATTTAGGTAAACTATGATCATTAATAACTTCCAACAAGCAGTATTTCGTCGTTGTGCAGCGAAAACTCATCAACTACAAAAATCAGATTCTGAGAATAATCGCGTTTGAATATTTTTTTTCGCAAAAATCGATATAGCTTCTAAATGCTAAATGCTATCCAAAACATTTGTTAGAAAAAAGCATAGCTTACAGTTTAATAAAACTACGTGTAATGAATGAAATTCAACAGCTGTTTATTTGTTTAAACTAAAATAAAAAAAATCAACTTAATTAGTTTTCGCGGAGAGAGGTCCTGTAGAATTGATACTTAGGTACTTATTGCTATTCTGTAATTTCATAAATATGAAGGAAAATGCTTATATTGTTTAAAATAGGATAGATTATTGTGTTTCAAACTAAATAGGGCAAAAAAATAGGTTCCGCTATAAATGTTAGTTAGTGATTTTTCGCTGCACAACGATGATTTCCGAACCGATACGACATCATAACTTTCAACTGCATATTCCTTTTTAAAAGGCCGGCAGCACACCTGCAATGATTCTGGTGTTGTAATTACTTACCATCAGGTGAGCCACATGCTCCTAGTCAAAAGAACTTTAATCTGAGCTTTCTGTGAACTTATCACATCTCTTGTTATAGAATATTCTACATACTCGTATTTCCTTAATATTGCATAATGGTAGTCACTTACCATCAGGTAAGCCGCATGCTCATTTACCTCCTGTGTTGTAAAAAAATTGAAGTATTGTCTGTCCATCGCATTCATGTCGTTTGATAATATGTAACACCGCTACCTCAACATGAGCATTACATAATTTATGGTTAATAAGTGACCGTGAGATCATTACGATTCCCACAATTACCATAGCATTTTTATTTAACCTACATCATTTCATAATATCGAGCGCATTGTTACCACAGACACCATTAGTGATAGACGACGCAAGTTCCAAGTTCCTCAATTTATATGAAAACTAAATGTGTCCCTAATAAATTACATATTGTTGCAAAAGTAAACTTCTTCCACACTAACTCTTTACGAAGTATAAACTATAAGTTGTTTTGTCATTTTTCTTAATATTTTTCTACATAAATTCATTGGTATGCACCAAATAAATATTTTTCTACCTTTCATTCTTTCTTTCTTTCAATTAATACTCTGAAAATAACACACCATTAACATAAGTAGGTTTTGCCAGTAGTTGCCACGTTTGGCAGGCGGGTTGGCAACCACAGTTAGGCTTTGATGACGTTTTAAGAGGGACGCTGCTGCCTGTCTCTCGACCATTAGGATCCCTTAGTCGTCTACTATGACACCTACGGGAAAAAAAGGAATGGTTAATTCTATGCCGAGACCGCACGATATAGAATAAAAATATCCATATCTTTACCGATTCTAAATCAATTTTGTTCTTTTTTGAATCAAAATAGTATTCTCTTGTATTGTTCACATAAAAATATAATGGCATTAATGTAATTGTTTTTTTTTTTTTATTATTATTTTGAATTACTATAACTAATTTAACGACTCAGCCAATTGCCATGAGATTTGAAGTAGATGTACTGTATGGGATGGAGAAGGGCATAAGCTAGTATTTATTTCCATCAAAATATTCCAGTAACACATACGAAGTCATGAGTAATAGCTAGTATTTTAAATTTTTTTTTATGAAACTTAGAATGGAAAATAAGCAGACAGCCCACCAGATGGAATGTGGTAACCGTCGCCTATAGACATGAGCAGTACCATGGACATAACAGAGTATACTGTTTCACCCATGATATCCCCCATGTGTTGCCATTCCTGAGGACTCAGGTGTTATTCTTCTGTACCCTGTAAATTCACTACCATGTCTCATCCTTCAAACCGGGGGGGGGGGAGGATTGTTAGTAATGGAGACTAAGAATCCCATTGCTAGCAATATACCTAACCAGGTCGACCTCCTCGCGGTTCCTCCTGGAAACTATCATGGTCAATTCCTAATGAATTCATCATGATGGGCTAATGGGCCTGTTTTCATTCTCATCTATCACCCTTCACTGGTGCTCCGCCAGCGTATCTCGTTAGCGCAGGCGGGGTTTCCATACCATTTTCACCCATCACCCTTCAAACCGAACAAATTACAGCCATGCAAACACAACTGCTGCATAGTAGAAACACGAACGGGAAAAAGCTACCCAAGCAAATGACTTCAAAGTCTCCTTCTGGTAAAATTGTCTAGTTAATGTAGTTGGTAATTATATAGTTATAATATTTAATTGTTTAATGAAGAAGTTCACATGGAGGTCATTATTGTATTTTCCAAATGCTACGTAACAACATAGATGAATTATTAAAAATGTTAATTGTGATTGCAATTAGGCAAAACCTATAATGGTATTGTTGTAATTAACGTATAAATAAATTAAGAAATGAATAAAAATAAATCACTCTTAATATAATAGATCTGTTATGTCCATAGTACTGCTCATGTCTATAGGCGACGGTTACCACTTTCCATCAGGTGGGCCGTCAGCTTGTTTGCCATTCTAAGTTGTATAAAAAAAATTGACAATGTTTGTTACAATAGATGGATGTGTGTTACTCTTTCACGTAAGATTTACTTAATGGATTTGAATAATATTTGAGATAGGGAATTTTATGTTCTGCTTCACGCGGATAAAGCCGCGGGATAGAGTTAGTAAATAATATTTTTTTATCCAACTAGTATCAAAATATTTTCAATTCAAATTCAAAAATATTTATTCATTCTCCACAATACTGTATATCTATCTATCTATCCATTTAAGAGCTGCGCTCTTGTCGGTGGAGCTCTTGCCACTCACTACGATTTTCATCGAGTCTCTTCACCTCTTGATACGACACGACACCAACTCCTTCCTTGATCTGCCTGATGTAACTATGTCTCGATCTCCCTCTTCCCCTCCTTCCTTCTGTAATACTGTATGAACAAACTATTTACTTAAGAATACACAGTTTATGTATTGTGGTGATTGATGGCTGAATTAGGAAAACCTGTGCTACAGTCACCAGGCCACCGTTTCCAGACAACTTGTAACAATGTAAGTAAATAACATACCAAAAATAAATTATTTTAATAATGTTAAAATCCAATTGCGGGTGTGTGTGTGTGTGAGTGTGCGTGTGTGTGCGTGCGTGCGTGCGTGCGTGCGTGCGTGCGTGCGTGCGTGCATGTGTGTGTGTGCGTGCGTGCGTGTCTGGGTGCGTGCGTGCGTGCGTCCGTGAGTGCGTGCATGTGTGCGTGTGTGCGTGCGTGCGTGTGTGTGTGTGTGTGTGTGTGTGTGTGTGTGTGTGTGTGTGTGTGCGTGCGAGCACGCGCGCGCGCATGCTAGTGAGCGTGCGAGTGTGCCCGAGTGCACGCGCGCGAGTGTTTGTGTGTGGGGAATAAGTGGGTACATACACGACACACGAAATAAACGGACGCAGATAAGAATGGTAATTTCAAAATTGAAACTTTTCTACTCTCCATGTCGTCAGCAATCATTTGATTGTTTCTATGTAACGTTGTTACGAGGAACTGTCCATCGGCAACTCTGTCAAAACTTTGAGAAACAAGCTCAATATTATTGAAACTGTTAGAAAAGCTGTCGAAGTATTTTCGAAGGAATTGGCTCACGTACAAACTACTACAAATACGCTAGCAAATAAATAAATAGTCTAAGACACAAAGTAAATAAAATAATATTTACTCTATAGTGAGTACTAGGTATTGATAAATAACATGGCAGTTCTTACATTTATGATTCAATAAAGATTTATCATGTCACAACGTTATTCAGGAGTCTCTAGAAACGGTGTTTATTTGAAATAAATATTTATTGTGTACATAACATACAGAGAAATTGGATACAAAAAAATACCAATAAGGTACAGAGGTGGACGTTTTCTATATAGATTCAATCTTGTGTATGCTTTTTCAATAGATAAATTATTTGAATGTGGAACAAAAATTCCACTTGGAAATTTTTGTGTACTACTGATGTAGTGAAGCACCAGTGAAGGATGACAGATGAGGTTGAAAACAGACTCTATCCCATTCGCGTTTCTACCGTGAAGCAGTTGTGTTTGCATGGCTGTGTTTCGGTTCGAAGGGTGAGATATGGTAGTGAATTTACAGGGTACAGATAAATAACACCTGAGTCCTCAGGAATGGCAACGCATGGGGGGTATCATTGGCGAAATAGTATACTCTGTTATGTCCATGGTACTGCTCATGTCTATAGGCAACGGTTACCATTTTCCATCAGGTGGGCCGTCAGCTTGTTTGCCATTCTAAGTTCTATAAAAAGTCCCCTTCTTATATAGCTCATTATGACGAAGACACAAGGAAATAACCACGATGGAACGATTCCAAAGAGGACCGCGTGGAGGTCAACCTGATAAGATACATTGCTAGCAAAGATGCCCCTAAACCTATTATTAAATGCCTGTTACTTCAACTTACGAATATTTAAAAAAAAATTTGTTATGTATATATGTATATACAACTCAACTTATACGGAGAAGAAGGGATTGTTGGAAATGAAGATTAGTGATCCCATTGCTAGCAATACACCCTATCATGTCGAGCTCCACGCGTTTCCCCATGGAAAGTTTGTATAAACAGTGTGATGAAAGTAGAGGAAACGAACGAGGTATGTATAGATTAAAACATTTGGCATTCGGTTATGGTAAATACAATTATATCAAATTAATTTAGGTTAAATTGTTCATAAAATATACAAAATATATAAATCTCGTATGTCGTCATCTCGGGTATGAGAAGGCATTGTAACATATTGCAGCTATTCCTTGACGATCCAAGCAATGCATTGATTCCATTCCTCACAAACTGTAGCTGACTCAGCTAATACTTGAACACTTATGACGTAAACCACGTTATAACAACATTTACTTAATAAATCATTGACCTGATTGCAAAACGTATCAGTTGTCAAACTAAAATACTTAATCAGTCAGAAAGGAAACACTTGTTTACTGTGCAAACACCAGTAAAGATAGACACGCTTCTCTATTCCCCACTTGGAATACCCAGGCCACTTTAAAGGGAGCCGTCGAAATTTTTGAGGTCTTTTTAGGCTGGTTCGACCGCGATCCTGCGTTTGCGCATGATTTCGCAAAGGCTCTGTGCAGTATTACTGCGACCGTTGACACGGTTGCACGTGTGTGTATAAGTCTAGCGAAGTTTGAAACTTTACGCAATTACATTTGTTTGAATGTGATGTGGTGTCAGCATAGTGCAAAGGGCTTGATATAAAGTGAAAGGAACTATTATACAGCGAGGCCTATTTTGTAAGTTCTACTAAAACATATATATTTTTTATTTATAATAAATGAATGAATGAAAATTCGCTAAATGAATATGAATGCATGAAAAATTATCGACCTGAAGAAATGTGTATTTGTTGTTATTTGTTAACAAACATCATTGATGAATAAAGTGACAGCTTATTATTGATTAAAAAATTATGTTTACTGTTTAACAATGAAAACTTTTTTAAGCAATCCGTTTTTGAATAACTTCATTTAATTAATGGTAACACTTAGTTAAATTGTTCTTCGTATTTTATATATATAAATAAATACTTTTACATCTTTGATAATCGACCTAATAATCATATTTTATAATTAAATTCATAAATACGACTTTATTTATAAAAATTAAAATTATTGTCCATTATAAATAATCAGTAAATAAACAAAGATGTCTTAAATAAATGAAGAGAAATGTGGGTAGACGTATAAATTAAAAGTATATACAATTTCTAACTAAGATGTGAGAAAATACTTAGAATGATTAAAGACATAATTCTATTAAGTAAATGTTAATTAAATACAGTTTATTTAACAACATAACGATGATTAAATATGAAAAAGCGTGTACTACTTAATAAAATTATACTTCAAATAAAGCGTTCAATTCAATGAAATAGCTGTGTAATTTTATTATATTTAATAATATTGCAGTGTAAAGTATTCCAATACTATTATATCTCTCAATGCTGTAGATTTTTCAATAAAATTAATTTAAACTTGATTGATATAAATATAAAAAAAATATTTTAGATATTTTTATGGCAAACGAAATTTGTACTGAATAAACTGTAATTCACGACTGAATGAACTATAATGTGATTTTCCTTCGCACTGTAAACCCAATAAATATTTTATTCCAGAATATAGTCTATCTGTATTGTAAACACATCTATTTAATAAGATATTATTAATAATGGGAACCAGCGTCCCCAACCATGCAATATACTAGTCAGATTGGTCTCCAAAGAAACCTTATATTTCATAGTCATATTGCATAGCAATTGAAGACGCGGATGAACCTTAATAATTGCAAAAAGTAACCTCAGAATCGGTTCGGAATTAATAAGCAAAAAATCATGTAAGATTTTATTTATCAATTAACCTCACTTTATGGACACTCATTATTATACATATATGGTTTCTTTCATACTTGTGCTTCTATTACTTGCACACACCCACTCTAACTTGCCTACCTCGCTTTGGAATTATAATTTTTGTTTGTTTAAATAAAATCCGTTATTGGCTGTATTCATAAGAGACTTAGCATGTATGTTATTTTTTAAGAGCTATGGATTTTTGTATAAAATAAAATAAAAAAAAAATAAGATACATACATAAAAACAATCAAACGAAGAAACTTCCCGTTTTGAAGTCAGTAAAAAATAAATTAATGGAAATTAACAGTATCTTTAAAGTGATCAGTCATGAAAATATCTCATGTATAATGATTATGATTCATATAGGAGAGAAATAATTAATTATTTGACAATTCACAGGCAAAATAATTTATTAAGTCTATTTTTAACTATAAGCACTAAACCAAATACACCAAAATATAAAACGGTAAGTATTTTAAATAAATAAACGGTCATTGTAGCCTATGGACGCCTGCAACACTAGGGGTGTCACGTGCGCGTTGCCGACCCTGAAGAAATCTTTATATACTCTTTTTTTTTAATGGGTGATAATGTAATGGTAACCCCGCCTGCGCTATCGGGATACGCTGGCGGAGCACCAGTGAGGGATGATAGATGAGCATGAAGCAGGTCAGTTGGCCCGTCGTGACGAATTCAACAAGAATTGTTCACGATGGTTTCCAGGCATATTGCTAGCAATGGGGCTATCAAACTCCATTGCTAACAATCCCTTTCCCCCCTAATATACCATTTTTGAAGAACCTCATACTGGAAAAACCTCAGTAAAGAGCTCATTCCATTGTCTAAGCGTCCGCGGGAGCAAACTCAGGTAGATATAAATAATACCACGGACAAAATGGACAGGGGGAGACTTTGTACAAAAGTCGATTGCTTGGGCACCTCTGTCGCATTCGTGTTTCAACCGTGAAGCAGTTGTGTTTGCATGGCTGTGTTTCGGTTTGAAGGGTGGGATATGGCGTGAATTTACTGGGTACGAAGGTATAACAGCTGAGTCCTCAGGAATGGCAACGCATGGCGGGTATCATGGGCGAAACAATATATTCTGTTATGTCCATGGTACTGCTCATGTCTATAGGCGACCGTTACCACTTTCCATCAGGTGGGCCGTCAGCTTGTTAGTCATTCTAAGTTGTATAAAAAAAAGACAGTATGCACTGTGATGAATACCCTGTCATTGCCTATGGTACCAAGATCTTTTGCTTCCGTACCCTGTAATTTTGATTCTATTTCTATATGTTTGTATGTTTATTTATCATAATTCGTTATCTTTCAAAATATTTATTTAATTTACATTTTTTTTAAATCTATACACCGCCTTTTGCTCTTTCTATTTAGCGTAACTGTCGACTGGTAGAGAATGCCATCACGCATTAATTCTGCCTTGTAGACTTTTTCTAATGTGTGCAAAAATATAAATAAATAAATACATAAAATTGTATTAAAATCGGTTCAGTAATTTAGTTTTTAAATAAAAATGACTAGTTTTGTCAAAATTGAAGTCGATCTTTTGTAGGACACAATATTTAATTATATTTTAGTTATTCTTTATTGACCACATTACAAAAAAATTTTAGGTACAAAAGGCGGACTTAATGTAATACAGCATTCTTTCCCAGTCAACCTTTGACAAAACAGAAATGCAATTGTACGGTGAAAAAAAAACTTAAAAATTTATTTACTTATTCATTAATACAAATATGTGTACATGGCGGACTTAATGCTAAAAGCATTCTCTCCCAGTCAACCATAGGGAAGTGTCAGAATACTCGAATACGATACTAGTAATTATTGATATACATACATACTAAAATTACATATATAAACGAATAAATATATATAAATAACAAATATACTTACACATATATAACATATACTATATTATACACGAAATTGAGAATAATATAAAGTACTTACAGCTCGGATAAAGTAAAAAAGTGAGCGTGAACGTTTAAAAATTGAAAATTGTTGTAGATAAATAGTTACAGACGTATTTATATTGACTTACAATTTTTTTTCTCAGTAAAAAATAGCTATTTCACACGTATGATTTTCCTATTGTATGGAAGCCGGTTATAAATTGTATTAAACATACAGGCTTCTAGGAGCTAGATATAATCTTGCTACAACTGATGTAACATTTTTTTATTATCTTTTTAATTACTCGGTAACCTTGTGCCAATCAATTTTGTATGTTAAAATACAAGATTAAATCAACATAATAAGTTCATAAGTATGCCAACTTGTATTTCTCGTTTCGAGGCCATTAAAGTCGTTGACACATTAGAGAGAAACGTAATTATATTATTAATCCGGGTACATATTGTCATTATTTTATTTACCTATTTACTATTCACACTATGTCAGTTAACGATGTTTGAAAAAATATTTGACGACCTTCGTGGCGTAGTGGTGGCCACGTTGCGTCGCATAAATGAAGTCTCTGGCTCGACTCCCTATCGTGTCAATTTAGAAAACGATTTTTTCTAAATTGTCTTGGGTCTGGATATTTTAAATTGTCCCGCCAGATACAGTAACAACAATAAGTTAATAACAATGTTAGCAAAGGCGAACTTATCTCTAAAAGAGATTTCTTTCAGTCAACCTAACACAGTGGCATAGGAAGTAGTGAGTGGGCAGTAGTAGTGCAAAACAGAAATTAAAATAAATATTTACATAAATTATAATTATATATATATATATATAATTATATATGTATATATAATTATATATGTATATATATATATATATATATAACATTTAAAAAAAATTATGCCTTCAAAACTAGTTTTATTAATTAAGATTGTACTCTAAAAAAGCGACTTCAATTCTGACAAAATTAGATCTTTTGATTTAAAAACGAAACCGCTAAATCGATTTAATAAAATGTCTATATATTTTCTTTTGAAATAAAAAAAAATATTTTCCAAATCGGTTTACAACTGGCAAAGTTATAAGGTAACAAACATAAAAAAAATGTAACCGAAAAGAGAACCTCTTTCTTTTTAAAGTCGGTAGAAAAGTTTTGTTCAAATATGTTCAAAAACCTATTTTTGCATGTACAAGTCTAGACATGTCTTACTTATTACACTTTAATTACAAATGTGAAAGCCAACATGTTTCTTATTAAATTGCGTCAGAAACGCTGAACGATTTTCAATAAAAAGTACGTACGGGTAAATATACGTAGAATACGTTTTGCACTAGATCGTGCGGTCAAATTACCGTATACAACTACAAGTAATAATAAGTTATACACAAAATTTATATTATATAAGTCATCATGTATGTATAAATGTAACATTTTACAAACCTCACCAATGACTTCGAGAGACATTCACTCACTCACACGTTTGTAATTTACCAAGTTGAAGCAATTACTCGAAACCGCATTCGATATGCAGTAAAAACAAAATGGCTGACCGGTATCGTAAACTATTTTATTACTTGCATCATACTGCGACTTTACCTGCTTTAATTAAAAAACGTACCTATCCAATATAGTTGATTAGAATTCAGTCTTTTCAATCGACTTAAAAAATAAGGGGATTTTTTTTATACAACTTAGAATGGCAAACAAGCTGACGTCCCACCTGATGGAAAGTGGTAACTGTCGCCTATAGACATGAGCAGTACCATGGACATAACAGAGTGTACTGTTTCACCCATGATACCCCCCATGCGTTGCCATTCCTGAGGACTTACGTGTTATTTCTCTGTACCCTGTAAATTCACGCCATATCTCACCCTTTAAATCGAAACACAGCCATGCAAACACAACTGCTTTACGGTTGAAACACGAATGGAACAGAGGTACCCAAGCAAACGACTTTTATACAAAATCTCCCTCTGGTATACAAAGTCTCCATTCGGTTGTATTTTTTTATGTTTGTTACTAAAAATGACTGTTACCATTTTCCATTTTTTTAATAGATGATAATGGGATGGTAACCCCGCCTGCTTTAACGGTACACGCTGGCGGGGCACCAGTGAAAGATGATAAGTGAGGATGAAAGAGCAGGTCAGTTAGCCCATCGTGACGAACTCCATTAGAATTAACCACGATGGTTTCCAGGGGGAACCGCGTGGAAGTCAACTTGATAGCAATGGGTCAGTTAGATCCCATTACTCACAATCCCTTCCCCCCCCCCCCCCACCATCACTTTCCATTAGGTGGGCCATCAACTTGTTTGCCATACTAAGTATCGTAATAATTATTAATTTTTCATATAAGACATAATAAAATCGATTATAATAAATACAATGTACCTATTACTCCTTATAAAGGATTCGACGAGCGTGTTCATTGCTTTGCCGATACCTAAATTTCAAACTATCCAGTGATAAGTACGTGTCAATTGAAGCGCTGGTTTATCTGTACAAAATAATATCACTTAAAATAATTATTTCACAATCCATCACTTTTAATTATGGATAAACGTTGATGAAAGATAAGACCAATCACGTTAACATTGAAGCGGTAACTCGTGATGTTCCCCTTACAATGTTCGATAATTGTACAAGTCAAGGTCAAGGTTATATATTGTGCATGGTATGCAAAATAGGAGCTATTGACTCGTGTTGAACGGTCGGTTAAATGGTTTGATATATATATACGGCATATCAATATCAGACATAGGACTATAGGATCAGGCAAGAATTTCGAAATTTTCTTAATTATATGTTTTAATTAATTATATTATTAATTATATTATCTTGTTTTAATACGATGTCTATACAGATATATAACGGAAGATTAAGGAACTGGCCGTATTTTTCAGTTTCGACTCCAAATTCTATTGAACCAACTTCGAGAAAAATAGTTGAAACGAAAATCAAAAACGAAAAATAAACTAATATTAGATTTTTAATTTAAAGTACAAAAAAGTTTGAAATCATTGACAATTGATGCATTATATCATTGGTAGTAGATTTGTATAATTTGACATAGAATCTACTCCTTGTTTGAAGTGCGTGCGTGCGTGGGTGCGTGCGTGCGAGCGTGCGTTCGTGTTTGCATGCGGACATGCGTGCGTGCGTGCTTGCGTGCGTGCGTGCTTGCGTGCGTGCGTACTGGCGTGCGTGCATGCGTGCGTGCATGCGTGCGTGCGTGTGTGCGCGTGTGTGTGTGTGTGTGTGTGTAGATATTGGATATCAATTGATACTTACATACTATTTTAAGCAATTTTCAAAAGAATAAAACAACTACTATTACGCTTTTAAATACAATGTTAATAAATCGAGAGCTTTTTGTTTTTTTTTTTTTGTTTTTTTTTTCCTAGAGACTACAATATTGAGTTCTTTAAAAGGATGTATTAAGGTTTCTTCAATCTTTTACCATCTGATGGGCTATATGCTGGTTTGCCACCTTTCTATAAAAAAAAACTTACTACTTAAATAGCTTCGTTGACATTTCTATATAAATAAAGATATTTACGTATATAAATATGAATAAGCTTAGAAAAGCGATCTCTAGTCCATAAATATTTAATTCTCGATCAGCCGCTATCTATTATTGTATCAATTTGATTGAGAAATATTCCCTTGACAGGCAACAAGAGCTATTATCGATTATTTATATGACATGATTGCGCTGTATTTGTACATTTGTATTAAATTATGAACAGTAATATTGTGTAACCGTCTATCATTATATCTAGCCAGATTATCGTCCACGCGACCCCGTAGGAAATCATTAGTGAATTAATCACAATCATACAACTAACCTGCTTAGAGAAAAATAATTGTTAGTAATGAGGGTCTGAGAGTCTCAATCGCTAGTAATATATCTTGTCAGGCCGACCTTCGTGCGGTTCCTCTTAGAAATAATTCTGGTTAATTCTTGTAAATCTGAAGTAAAGCTGAATCTTATCCTGATCTATAATAGGTCAGGATAAGATACAGTTCATATATTTATAAAAAAAATATACAAATATATATCTACAACATATAGGCAACGGGGGGAAAGGGATTGTTAGTAATGGAGATTGAGAATCCCATTGCTAGCAATATACCCAACCAGGTCGACCTCCTCGCGGGTCCCCCTGGAAACTATCATGATGAATTCCTGATGAATTCATCATGATGGGCTAACTAGCCTGTTTTCATCCTCATCGATCACCCTTCACTGGTGCTCGCATTCGCCAGCGTATCCCGTTGGCGCAGGCTATATATATATATACTATTCCATTTTTTAACAGTAAAAAAAAAAACATCAGCCCTCCCTTTCAACAGCGTCCCTTTTAAAATATCACCAAAAGCCAAACTGCGGTTGCCAACCCACCTGCCAAGCGTGGCAACTACTGGCAAATCGCTCTTATAGGGGAAGCTATATTCAGCTAATAATATAGCTAATATAATAACAACGACTTACTTTTACTAAATGGTAACAATAAAATTAAAATGGCTAATAACCTGACAACCTACCATAACCTACATTAATACTAACACGAACATCACGCAAACCATGATGCCCATGCATTCTATGCGTGTATGCCTCCGTACCATGTAATTTCACTACGATAACCATTCAAATCGAAACACATTTGATAGCCAGTGGACATACGAGTCAGAGATAATGTAAACGACTTCGTACTAATGTAATAATACATACACATAGGGGGGAAAGGGATTGTTAGCAATGGAGTTTGACAGCCCCATTGCTAGCAATATGCCCTATCAGGTCGACCTCCACGTGGTTCCCCCTGGAAACCATCGTGAACAATTCTTGTTGAATTCGTCACGATGGGCTAACTGACCTGCTTCATCCTCACCTATCATCCTTCACTGGTGCCCCGCCGGTGTATACCGATAGCGCGGGTGAGGTTACCATTACATTATCACCCACTAAAATATATATATATATATATATATATATATATATATACACACATACATACACACATGCATATAAACACCGACACAAATACACATACATAAATATATAAAATAATAATACAAGTGGATTTTGTCAGTAGTTACAATGCTTAGCAAGTGGATTGGTAACCGCAGTTAGGCTTTGGTGAGATTTTAAGAGAGACGTTACTGCCCATTCCTCGATCATTAAATTCTTTTATTTATTCGTTTATATATGTAAATTTTAGTACGTATCATCATCATTATATCAGCCCTTAACTGCTCACTACTGAACAAGAGGGAGACTTTGTACAAAAGTCGTTTGCTTGGGTACCTCTGTCCCATTCGTGTTTTAACCGTTAAGCAGCCTTTGAATGACTGTGTTTCGGTTTGAAGGATGGTATATGGCGTGAATTTACAGGGTACAGAAGAATAACAACTGAGTCCTCAGGAATGGCAACGCAAGGGGGGTATCATGGGCGAAAACAGTATACTCTGTTATGTCCATGGTACTGCTCATGTCTATAGGCGACGGTTACCACTTTCCATCAGGTGGGCCGTCAGCTTGTTTGCCATTCTAAGTTGTATTAAAAAAAATATGAATGCATTATAATAATGAATAAATAAACTATCGCCACGCGGATTCTCAAAATACAGGGTTTCCTAGTTCTAGAGCCAAGCAATTAGTATGATACTTATTAATACATATTAAAAAAATATCTACCTAATAACATTTTCTCCCTATTTATATTACGTTTGGGCTATAATAAAATGTAACCTGAAACCTAAAGCATATTTATATTTTAAATTAAAATTTAATTAAACTGCTACAACCATGTAAAAGAAACCTGTTACGTATATTTGGAATGAAAGCAAACGCGAAAATTTTTCCACGTTTCAAAATGATTAAAAATATACTGTTTTAAATACAAATTAAGACTTCAATTTAAATATTTAAATACAGTTATTTTTATTTTGCAGCTACTATAAATATTACATTTTCATTTGCTGTTTTATTTATTTATTTATTACATCTATTTATATTCATCATCATCATCATCATATCAGACTTTAACTGTCCGCTGCTGAACATAAGCTTGGGGGATTTTGCCAGTAGTTGCCACGTTTGGCAGGCAGATTGGCCACCTCAGTTAGGGTTTAGATATGTTTTAAGAGAAATCCTCCTTTAATCGCCTCTTACGGTACCCACGGGAAAAGAAAGTGTGGCCTATTCTGAGCCGGAACCAGACGGCACGGTTTTGTATTCATTTTAATATAATTTTTCAATGCATTTATATTTCAATTAGTTCTTTAATTGAAACAGCTTAACTATTATACAAGCATAGCTGAATGGGTACCTTTGTTTGACATTTCCGTAACAGCTACGCTTGCATTTTAAGCTTGAAGCGTGAGTTACTGGAAAATCACTGGCTTCTGAGTAGGTGCTCACTATCTGTGTCACAATGGAGTAAAGTTATTACCAGAGGAAGACTTTGTACAAAAGTCCATTGCATGGGTACCTCTCTCCCATTCGTGTTTCAAC